TTATGGAAAGGTCTTATTATGGAGAGTAGCAACCCTTTTGGGGCCCCGGTATTGTTTGTACCTAAGCCTGATGGCAGCTTCCGAATTTGCATTAACTATAGGGCGTTGAACAAGGCCACTATAAAAAATAAGTGGCCTATACCGAGGATAGATACCCTGTTGGATCAACTGCAAGGAGCTAAAGTCTTCTCAGCAATTGACTTGCAACAAGGGTACTATCAGCTCAGAATTGATAAGGCCGATTGTGCCAAAATGGCATTTGTGACGCCTTTGGGCATATATGGGTTTAAGGTTCTTCCTTTCGGACTTGCAAATGCCCCAGCAATCTTCTAGCAGACGATGCACCATATCTTTGGTGATCAAATTGGCAAGCATATCCTAGTTTACTTGGACGACATTTTGATGTTTAGCCAATCTGCAGAAGAACATTTGCAACACCTGAAGCAGGTGTTAGATGTGCTACAACGACAGAAGTTAGATTGTCGTCTGCACAAATGCCAGTTAAATAAAGAGGAGATCTCCTACTTAGGACACATTGTGTCTCAAGAAAGCATACGCCCAGACCCGGAAGGGATTGAGAAAGTACAGAACTAACTTGTACCATAGTGCATGAAGCACGTTCAGTAGTTCCTTGATTTAGCCAATTATTTTTGAACGTTCATCCAAGGCTATTCGAAAATGGCAACTCCCTTAACAGACTTGACCAAAAAGAATGGCAAGTGGGAGTGGACGGCCAAGTGCCAGGCAACATTTGAGCACATAAAGAAACGCTTAACAACAACTCCTTTGCTCTAAATGCCGGACCCCAATAGACCCTCCGAGGTCATTGCGGATGCATCCCAAACTGTTGTGGGAGCAGTCCTCATGCCGGACAACCATCCAGCCTATCATGCCATTAGGAAATTTCTTCTTGTAGAGCTGAATTACAGTGTAACAGACTAGGAAGCTTTAGCTTCCATGCATGCCGTCCAGTTGTGGCGTTGTTACCTAGAGGGTACACATTTTAAACTAGTAATGGATTATTGCCTGTTGACATACTTAAAGTCACAGCCACAGCTGAGCAGGCGGCAAGCCAGATTGTCAGAAATCTTGCAACAATTTGACTTTGAGTGGGAATGTCGCCCAGGGCAAAAGAATGTGACTGATCCACTTTCTCAAATCCCACCTACTCCTGGTGAACAGGAAGCCCGGAGAAAAAGTCAATTGGCTATATGTGGCTTAAAGGCAATGCACAAGTGGGGAAACGACCAACGGTCTAACAGGATGGTAGAGGCAGAGGATCCAGCCTCTAGAATCCGATAGGCATACAGCCATGATCCCCAACTTGAGTTTGTAAAACAGCAACAAGATTTGTGTTTGTACAAACGACTTACGGTTGCGAGGCGAGCAGGTATATATACCAGCTAGTATGAGGACTGAGATCTACTAGTTGGCGCATGACCATCCAAGTGCAGAACACTTTGGTCAAGCCAGAACCCTGGATTTAGTCCAGAGGTATTACTGGTGGCCAGGAATGTGACGAGAGATGCAATTATATGTTGATACTTGCCTGGTTTGTCAACAGGCTAAGTATTCACATCAAAAGACCCCAGGCTTACTTCAGCCATTAGGCATTCCTGAGGAGCCACGGACTGAATTATCCATGGACTTCATTACTCAACTGCCAAAAACTAAGGGAGGTGATGATGGCATTGTCGTGTTCGTCGATAGGCTGACCAAAATGGCGCGCCTCGCAGCCACTAAGACCAAAGACTCTGTGGAAGGAGCGGCAGACTTACTGGTGCAGAATGTGATAAGGCACCACAATCTCCCATTTACAATAGTGTCCGACAGAGATGTTCGGTTCACTTCCAGGTTTTACCAGTACCTGGCAGAGAGGTGGAAAGTACAGCTCAACATGAGCACTGTGTACCATCCACAGACGGATGGCCAGACCAAAGTCATGAATCAGGTTCTGGAGGACTACTTACGCAGCTATACACGTTTTGATCAAAACGCATGGGACAAACTGTTAGCCATAGCCGAGTTTGCAATGAACAACTTGAAAACAGTTCAACCCAAGAGACCACATTCTATTTGAACTACGGTCGACACCCAAGGAGTCGCTTAGCTCTGGGGGTGCAAATTTGGAAGCCGTTGAAAGGCTATGACAATCCGAATGCCCGCAGCTTGGCAGTGGCCATTGATAGGGCACAACAACCTTATTTGAGGCGAAATGGTACATCCTTTGTGGAGGGATTACCAGCCATGACACAATTTGATCACCGTGTCCAGACAATGCTGAAAGAGGCCAAAGAGTGCTTAGAGAAAGCACAGCCCAGGCAATCAAAGCATGCTGACCGCCATCGGAGGGAAGTGTCGTATGATAAAGGAGATGGCATCCTCCTTTCGACACAACATATTACCCTCAAACACCCAGGAACGCAGAAATTATTGCCGAGGTGGATTGGGCCCTTCACCATCCTCGACCGGATAGGTTCTGTCGCATATCGATTGGAACTTCCGGACAGTATGAGCAAGATACATCCGGTTTTCCATATATCAAAGCTCAAGCCATATAAAGCTAGTGGCAGAGTATAGCCACCCCCCGTCCTTATTGAGATTGAAGGGGAACTGGAGTATGAAGCTGAACGTATCCTTGACAAAAGAGTCAAAAAACGCAGCCGAGTACCTTGTCAAGTGGTTGGGTTATGGACATGAACATAACAACTGGGAATCAGCAAAAGCAGTTGCAAATACACAGGAACTGGTTCAAGCATTTGAAAATAGCAGAGCTTCTATGATGCATGTGCAAAATGGTCAAAATACACGCAGTACGAGATGTACACGTTGATATGAGTCAACCTAGGTTGCTATCACAGGCAATGCTCTATTGGGCCTAGAAAAATACTAGGTACCAGGATGCAAGATCGCATTCTGCATTCGGATATATGAATGCGATGTCAATAGCAATCCTCCATGGGGAACGAGTGGAGAGTGATGGCCCGCTGGTCCGGACATCCGACCATGTGAGAGGACGAGGCCGCCAGCCTAGCTATATTCCACGTGGACCAGGTCGTGCGTGGCAGGCTGGTGGAGGATGCTGTGGCGGACGCACGGGGTAGCTCCTATGCGTGATCGACTTGTTCTGGGCTATTGCAGACCGAGAGGTCACCTTCATGCTGATAGGTCATTGTACTATGTGTACATTGGGTTGACATTGAACATTCCAGTTGTTATACTGAGGGAAGAGTTTTAATGGAGGTTGTCAGCAGACACACTGTCCATGTAACAACCACTCTTTTCCTCTTCCATGTACAGGTGTTCCTATATTGTAATCAACGGGGCATGTGGCCAAGCGCACAATCCATTGTTACACACAGCAGGCCCACTGGCCATGCATGCGTCTATTCCCATATCACCGTATTGGGATGGGGACATCCCACCTCCCTGAGGGGGGCGAATATTACGCACACCGGCCTGAGGTGGGGGACGCCCTACTAATGGCCCCTTGGTGTGGGGGACGCCCTGCCCAAGGTATGGTGACGTACCCCAACCAGCTTAGCGATATTATACGATATGGGAATAGGTCGGGGTGGTCCCGCCTAGGTCCCCGTAAGGACCTAGGTGCCCGGCGAGGCGGGTCCACGGCTTAAAGAGGGCAGAAGCCCCACACCAACAATCTTCACATAGCAGGGACAGAAACCCCAAGGGGCCGCCAAAACCAAAGTACTTAAACAGCGCTGGTCCAAATGGAGCCAGCGCGCCCGCCCCTCGTCGCCCTGGGCGGAAACCTATTAACAAGATAGTTAATTCCATTAATCCAACAATGCCCCCTATCCTCAAAAAATATGCCCATGTGGTTTTACGGGGTCTTATCTATTTTTGGGGGGGGGATTAGTATAGAGAGCATCACTATTAGTGCTACCTAATATTTAGAATTTGCAGAAAAATCAAGAAAAATACAATAAATATGATCCGTGGGCCCCCTTGTTGGAAGGTGCCAGGTCGTGCCCCTCCTCTGGATCATGAGAAGGCACCGTTGTATATTAGAAAAGCAACTATTCACACCCATGGGAGGGACCCCTGGGTGGTCAATTAGTATGGGTGTTGCCGCTAAGTACCAGCTAGATGGAGCTCGCCCAACCTAGATGCAACAATGATTGAACAAGATGGATAAAGTCATCAGATGTAGGGCGTACCTAAGGATTTAGGTTGGTGGAATGGTGGGCTAGACAAAAGTTGGCAAAAGCTGAGGGTAAATCTGAAAGAGCCACCATAGCGGCAAAATATACACTCTTGAGGTTGAGCTGAAATCCCAGGGTAGGAAACTCTCTCTCACTCTCTCTCTTCCACCAAGCCTCCTCGATCTCTGCCAATGTGACAGCCTCTGCTGACCTTCGCTACCTCCATTGGTCTTCGCCAACCTCTGTTCACTTTTGTTTAGAGCTGGCCTCCCTAAACTCCGCTGGAGCTTTGCCTCCGATCTTTTGGAATGTTAGCCTCTTCATTAGACTTCCGTAAATCATCGTTTGGCGTCATCTAGCTGATGAGCTCTTGACGCCACAGGTCAGTATTCATACTTGCGATGAACATTTGCAAAAACACTTGGCCCCTTTGTATTACATCCATTGATCTATATCATACTGCTTATTCCCACCCACTATACTGCCTGTCGGTCCAAACATCCTCATTAATTTCGTTCCCCAAACACAAAGGCTCACACCCCTACAGCATAGTCAGAACAAGTGTGCACCATACAAACAAAACAGCGCATTATTAGCTGCCTCAAAATAAATGGCACTCGCCGTTCCGGGACAGCAACTCATCCATTCTGTGCACTCATTCATTCCGCGCCGCCAACAATGGAATAATAGCCTAAAGTCGTTTCTGTCAAACAGTTGATCAGCAAACCAACCGTTGGGTCAACACCAGCCACCCCAATATCACCCCCTCTCCCCACACATATCCTGCCCTTCAACCATGCACTGCCCGGTCCACATGTAGTATACCTGCTTTTTCTAATACTCTAAACATGCCACGGCGCCCAGATCTCTGAGCAACGCGAGACCCACAGCTGTGACCTTTGGGCACAGAGCCAAGTTTAAAATGCACAAGCGGGTGAGCCCTGTTAAGTGCGAGATACCATAGTCTGTGATGTTTATGCACCTGCACGACATGCACACAGAGTTTTAAGTTGAGGCACAGCATGCTGGAAGCTAATATTCCATATAGTTTTGAACTGGATAAGCTGCAACAGATGCTGAATTGCTGAAAATTGCGTTTTAGTGCTGCAATACATGGTCAACAGGAACCGTGATTCTACAGTGCGTTGGGTTCTTACTAGGAACTTCTCATTGCAAGTTGCAAATCAAGAACACATACTTTCTGGATGTTGTGCGAGTTGTTCTTGTGGATTTCCATGCTGACAGAGCTTTGATACTTCCTCTGTCCCACAACAAATGGTCCCTAGTTGGAATTAACAAATCTTTAAATAGACAATGGCAAATGGTCACACAAACATTGTGTTTGCAAAAGCAAGATGTCGAATACCCTGGGGACATTTCGAAATGGGACCAGGTCCCCCTTCGCGCCGATGTGCATCAGTCGCAAGGCTATGCACTTGGGTATTAAAATAGTGCTTCCCAAGCTCTCCACGCTGTTGAGCTGTCTCTGTTCCCCACTGAAGGACGAAGAAGTCGCTGTTGATGTTGTGCTCATGACATGCTCACGTTCACGATGCGGAAGAGACCCTGCCAAACCCGTTCCAACATCAACGGATCTCGTTGTTCGAAGGCCATCTCCCCACCCTATTGGAAGGCAGTGGCACGTTCTTTGAGGGAATGGACGTGCGTACTGGGTGATTTTACGGGCTAGGTTCTTGGTGTCAAATCAAGCCCTGCCTTTTTGCATGCTGCTTTGATTTGGCCTGAATTGAGGCACTGCAAACACTTGCTTTAGAGGGTGACCCATTTGCACAGCCTGTTACCCAATCTTTCCACCACAATGTCACCTTTGGAGGCACAGACTTGTCAGCGAGGTGCATTTGCCCAAGTTTGAAAGCCCCACGTCCGTGATCCTTGGGCACCGATCCAGGTGCATGGTGAGCAGTCCCTCCAGCCTGGTCAGCATTTCGATGCCCGAGTCCGTCACTCTGCTGCAGCCACTCAGCTTGAAGGTCGCGAGGCGAGGGAGGTTGCACAGGACAGCCAGGGGAGCATCCCCCATCCACACACAGTTCGAGAGGTCCAAACCTGGCACAAGCCATGCGCTTCAGTTGGCAACCAATCAGCCAATCACCCAACCAACCAACAAGCCATTCCTCCAAGAAAGCCTTTGTTCCAAGAAGATTGAAATCCTGGAGCGTTTGTTTCAGTTTGTTTTGTGCATGCACAGCACAAAAAATGTGTGTTGGGAGACGTTTCCGACACCATGCAAGGCACACGACTGCCTGCCAGGATAGTATCTTGATAGTATACTTGATAGTATCTGAGCACCATTGCAAAGCGGCACACCAGAGATGAGGCAAGTATGTGTATGCTCCCTCCATAGCACAGTTCTTGATGTCTGGATTGTGCGGGCAACCCCATACCATTGTTGTTTGCATCACATGGCTGACTTCCACCATCACAACACCTGGTTTTGTACACTCCACAACTGCACAACTGTGCACATAGGCCAAGATAAACTTTTTCTCTTCCAAACTTATTCAATTTCTTGGCAAGATATCTCGTTGAATTCATGCAAATCTGCAGCAATAATTTATACTGTGGTGAACACAGTCACTCAAGAGTTGTTCAGGAGTTCTGTGCTGCCCAAGCCTGACAATTTGGGCACCCTTTTGGGCACACAGGCAGCTGTCACACTACATTGTCACTGCAAGCAGTGCCAAACTTCTCCGGTACTAAAACACATTGAACATTGTGCAATAGTACATTGTTCATCATTGCCCAATGCAGGCTGCACAGCTGCCCATCGCCAACTGCACTCTCTGTAGTCGCACTTACATAATGGAACTACCGTGTTGCAGTGTACCAAGGCTCCAATGTCGGAATCAGCAACAAAGGGTTTGTTTGGCATCCGTATTGGCGATTGTGATCGGCCAGACTCCATTATTGCCAAGCAAACAAATCCCAAATCTACAAGTGTCCCCTCAGCATCTTCAGCATCCACCAAGCCCAAAAGGGCCAAGGTGATACCACTCAGCGCCATAGGTGCCAGGGCCATGTCATTCATGCTCGCCAAATGCAAGCAACAGAATGCACTCAAGATTTATGATTCAGCTGACACGTATTTGACGGACCAACATGCACACTGCCTCAATACCAAACTAGCAGTTGAGATTCAACAGACACGCAGTTCACCACCAAACACACACGCAGACAAACACACTGCCTCACTCCAAGCATTTGCCTGTCAGGTGGGTCAAAATTGAAATTCAACAGACACACAGTCCACGTTGAACATATACGGACTTAGGCGAGCACCCTACCATGAGGGACATTCTGAATGAGCACCTAGACATGGGGCGAGCGTGACATCATCGCGTTGCAGGTGCACCCTATGAAAGGCAAACCTGGTATCAGGTTTTGTTCTTTCTTCGAGGATGCATTCACATTCACATTCATACACACAGACTACCCTAGTAAAAGCGGGGCATTTTGCTTGAGTACCTGGACACGAGGCGACGCGTGACGTTACCTCGTTGTTGGTGCACGCTGGGTAAGGCTCAGTGCTCTTTCATTTAGGGATGCATTCACATTCACATACACACACTGCAGAACTCCAAGCGCTCACCCGTCAAGCGGGTTAGCACGTCCAGTGCCGCCGCGCCGTCGCCCGTCAGCAGGTTGCATCCGCACAAGTCCAGCTTGGTGAGACCCGTGGACGCCTCGGCCCGGCAGAATGCCGCCACGCCTTCATCCGCCAGCCCGACGCACCCCCCCAGGCTCACGCTCGTCAGCGGCACGCGCCCCAAGGCGCAGAACCCGGTGCCCCTCAGCCCCTCGCATCCCGACAGGTCCAGCGTCTGCAGCTCGACCATCCCCTCTAGCCTCTCCAGCCCTGCGTCCGTGATCTCCAAGAGCTCGGACAGCACCAGCGTGCGGATGTGCGTCAGGGACGAGATCGCCTCCAAGCCGGCGTCGTCGATCCTGTGGCAGCCGCCGAGGGCGAGGATGACGACGTCGGTGAGCGCGGTCAGGTGGGCCGCACCCCGGCTGGTCACTTTCTTGCAGTGGCTGAGCTGGAGGGATGTGAGGGATGACAGCCTGCCCACCACGCGCAGAGTGGCGTCGTTTAGGCTCCCGCAGCCCTGCATGTCCAACGACCGCAGCGCCGTGAGCCCGAGCAGCGGCGCCAAGCCGTCACCCGCAAACTCCCACATCGTGTAGGCCAGGCTCAGGCTGGTGAGGCCCCCGAAGCCCGCCAGCAGCTCCATGCCGAAGTCGGACAGCACGTTGGCCTGGTGCATGTCCCCCAGGCCCAGTGACCTGAGGCCCGAGAGGGGAGCGAAGTCGCACAACACGCCGTCCGTCACGTCCAGCCACGGGTTGCTCAGCAGGTTAACGTCGCGCAGCTGCGGCAGACCGCCCAGGTGCGCCACGCCGTCCGCGGTCACCCTGGGGCAGCCACGCAAGACCAGCACCCTTAGGCGGGAAAGGCTCGTCAGCGCCATCACGCCCTCGTTGCCCACGTTCAGCCACATGAGCGTGAGGTGGGTGAGGCCCCTGTGGTTCTTGGCGATCGTCTTGAGCCCCTCGTCGCTGACGCGCGTGCCCCGCAGCTGCATGCACCCCAGGCTGAGCTGCAGGAGGCCCGTTAACCCGCACAACCGCCCCAGGGCCCGGTCCGACACCGATGCCATGGACACGCCGGTGTAGACGAGGTTCAGCGACTTGAGGCCCGTGAAGGCGGACAGGCTGCAGACCCCGGCCTCGGACACCAGCTGGCAGCCGCTGATGTTGAGTGCCTCGAGGGCGGTGAGGTGGGAGAGGGAGAGGATGCCCGCGTCGCTGATCTTGAGGCACCAGGGGACCTCCAGCCGCCGAAGGCCCCGCAGGCGGGAGAGCTGGGCCATGCCGGCGTCCGTGACGGCCGCGCAGCCGCTGATGCTCAGCGAGGTCAGGCTGGAGAGCTGCACGAGGATGCCCACCCCTGGGCCACACAGGTCATGCTTCAGGAGGAGGGAAGGCGTGATGAATGCGTCCATTGCAGAAGCAAGTCAATGAGCCAGGGACAGCATCCATGAAGAGGGGTGAAGAACAGCATGCTGAAGTGGCATGACCAGCCGGTCATGCACATGCCTCTGCTAAACTTGGGTCAGGGGCTGCACGAAGGAAAAAGATCCTGTAGGTCTGTAGGGACCTACAAGACAGTGACAGGAAGGAAACATGCCCTGCACAGTTCTACCCTTCTGAAGATGTTCGGCAGACAGGAGAGCATGCCGTACAGTGTGCCCATCCCTCCAGGCATAAATCTGTGACGCCCGCATTCAAGCCCCGGATACCATTGCAGAAAGCTGCTGGTGCTACAGGAACTGTCATCTCCTGCGATGCCTATTTTCCCGTGGTTTGTATAGACATGCCCAGGACAGAATATAGGGTAAGATGCACATCTGCCTGAATGAGTGGTCGTTTGGTAGATGGGGCAGACCCAACAAACGTAGGGCATCAAATTTGCAACCCTAAAGTGGCAGGCACCGCGTGCATGACAACATCAAGAACAATCTTTTAACGGGAAAAGGGTGGGGGGTGGGGGTATTCGACTTCCCAAATAAAGTGTCGACACCCTTCATATGTCGGCAGAGTCAGCTGTCAATGACTTGCTCCATCGGAATCTTGACATTCAACAATTGCTGCAAGGTCTTTACTGGAGGCCTTAAGTTATCTGTCAGCCCAATGGTACAAGCTCATAGCATCAACATTGTGTCATCACAGCACAGTTGCTAGGCAAGCCAGGCGACTCAACTCTGGTTCTTGAACTAATAACCCTTTTCCGGCTGCCCAGTTACTGACCCACTAAGGTCATTCCAAGCATTGATGCCATCTCCTCTTGGGTGGGCATCCCAGTGGTGAGCCTGTACTGAAAGGGCTGTCATGGAGCTGACTGCACCTGTCAATCGGTTATGTGCACTGATCAACCCAGTTTGTTCAGGCAGCGTGCTTGTTTCTGCATGTTGCTTGCAAGAGCAGCGAAGGTGCACGCGCAGTCCTTTGCAACCCTTTCATCAATTGTGATCAAGAGACTGACAGCCATGTACTCCTTGCGATATGAAATTTCTTTTGAAACTGAGGCTTCAAATCTTCTGGAGTAAATATGTCAACATCTTATGTACTGCTGCCAACAACAGGGTACTGGTCACAGGACATGGCTGAAACGCTTGACATGCCAACTGTCAGGCACCAAGCTGGTGATCCCATGCTCAATATGTGTGAAGCATTTCGTTCCCAGTCCAAACCTACGATTTGTAGTATCCAAACATTCACGCACACCTTCATCTGTGATGTGGACACACTGTGTGAGATTCAATGTGTGCAGCAAGCTCAACCCCAGGAGCCCTGCGATGCAGCTGTCATTGATTGTCGATGCCAAGAACATAGGGTCTTGGCCCATGTCCAACACCTCGAGGTTCTGCAGCTCCTGAATGTACCTCAGTCCTTGAGCATCTACATCCTGCAAACGTGTACAAACATGCATTTTGACGAAGGGACACATGCCCTTAAGGATTGTGTACCTGGCAGCAAGGAAGTATGGGCAAATATGTATTTCAAATTAACTAGAGACCAGAAGGACTGCTTGAATTTCCTTGTATGTCAGGTGGACCAGAATATATTGACATGCATGGCTTCCAACACCTGAACACAAGCAACTGCAAGAGAATAGAACAAGTAGTGTGTCGAGTCTACCAATCTATTTGGTGATCTCCTAGCGTGGAATAGAGACAGCCACAGCCATCTTTGCTGCTGACATTCCACATAAACTGAACAATTGACACTACTGCTGCTATACATGCACAGACTTCAAGTGCAGGGCTGTACACACAAAATTGCATATACAAGGCTGGCTGGATCCTGCCTATGTGGTTGACAGGCTTCTAGTTAAACCGTTTGAGCATTTGACACCAAGTTCTCTGGGACACTGTCCAACAGTGTGCCCAACAGTGCGATGTGAGCATGACAGGGATTGGGAACAAAGATTTGCAAATCTATTGTCTCCATGCTCCTCTGTGGACTATAAAATATAACGTGGCTAAAACACTGCCGCAATGGAGAGACACAAGCAGGTGCCAGAAGCTGAGCGTCCACATAATCTCCCAGGGCAACTTTGGGCAGTTGCCAAGTTGAAAACGAATTTTTCGGCATCAGGACAGCCAATACACTGGCATTGGAGATCACTGTGACAGCTCACCCCCACCTCACTTGCTGTTCGTGCTACAATGTATGACTGCAATGCATATACAAGCCGTGATGTGCTCCTGAAATGCACGATCTTCTTGGAATCAAAGTTTTCTAATGCATCACTTATGCTATGATGGCATGGAAAACAAAAGACCGCATCCCTTCCATTGATCACTGTCCTGCATAATTGCATCTGTTGATATATCATCCAGAGCAGTGGGCATGGAACAGAAGCAGACACCGGCATGCCAGACAATGTCATGGCATGCCAGACACTGGTATGGCATGCCATGCACGACACCACCATCTGCTACTGACTATGCCTTCCAGCTACCTTTGCTTCAAGGAACCCTGATCCAAATTGATCCCCTTGTTCCCATGCTATTCTCCTCTCAAATTTGTCCAACATTATTATCTTCTATTTCTGTCATTGACTTCTGCAACCCTCGACCCCGAAACCCCTTCTTCTCACCTCTGTGCAGTTATGCAAGTCCAGCTCATGCAGGAAAGGAAAATCCTTCACAATGATGGACGGCAAGAACTTTGATGGCTGCAGTCGAGAGATGGCGTGCGCCAATGACACAGACCAGTGCCAGCACACCAGTCTTGCAGACCTGGGGATTTGCAATAGACCACAGTTGAATCCCAGTCCGACACCAGGTTGAGTTCATGCCAAACTCAGCACCCAAGAACAACGCTGACCCACCCAGAATGCCAATTTGCAATACCGTAGAAGCTGAAAGAAGAGTGGCCATTTGCAACCTGTCTTGCTCCAGACTTCTGTGGATCGTTCACTGCACACAGGGAGGATGAGAGAGGGGGAAGTGCAGACAACACGAATTGAGCGGATGCATGGTCATTTCACAGCAGAAATGGTAGACAAGGAAAGGCGCCACACAGTCTTCCATGTTCACCTCAAGTCCAACGGCGTGAGGTGCTTCAGGACTTGGCCCATCAGCGCCTTGGGCATCTGAACCCAATTCCCCGCTTCGGCCACCGGCAGGCTGGCCCTCGCGTCCGCATTCTTCCTGCTCGCGGGGGACGCGCTGTCCGTTGTCCCCTGCGGTGTCGCGCCGGCTGCCCTGCAGTTGAAAAGAACAGCAGCGGGGTCAGATAACGGAAAGGGACTCTGGCGCCCCGATCGCCGGCAATAAAACCCGCGCGAACAACAAAAACCCAAAACAAAACGAACGACACGCCCACCATCGACAAAACCAACCAATGCAAACGAACAACAAAACCCGCGCGCCATGCGGCGCACAGTGCAAGGAAATCGAAAACGTGATCTCCTGAGCAGGTCGTGGAAGTAAATCCGCAAGGAAAACCGGTAGTGATAAAATGCGCCCGCATTGTGCGTCCCGTGCACCAGAGCGGCACCGCCCCGCCGTCCGCGCCCCGACTTCAAACTCCGCGCGCGACACTCACCTCCGCCGCGCCCTTCGCCTGTGCGGTTCCTTCCATGCCCGCGCGGCCACCGCCAGGACCAACAGCACCGTTACACTCGCCTGTAACGCCCCGCCAAACACAGCCCCTCATCGTCAGCTGCCCTCAGTCCCAAAGGCTGGCTACCCCTCGGAGGCCGGGAGAGGGGACGGGGGCCCAGAGATTGGCGTCCCGGCCACTTGCCTGCTGCAGCTCGGTCTGGAGGACGCTCGCCTTGGGCAGGGCGAAGAGCACGCTTTCGGCCAGCACCACCAGCAGGCACAGCCACGGCTGGTCCATGGAGAGCAGCGTGTAGACAATGAAGGCGCAGGTGGCACAGTGGAGGGCGAACAGCTGGCCCTGGAAGGCGTCCATGTCTCCCCGCCGCCCCCTCGGCGCCCCGAAACGGCCAAAGACCCCCGCAAGGAGCTTCAGTAATTGCGCCAGACCCGGCCCCGGCCCAGGTCATGGCGGCCAGGGCTCCATCATCTGGCTCTGTCGGGGTGGAACTGAACTGCCCTGTTGGCAATCAAGCGCGCACTGGACTGCGGACGCCCTGTCCTCGCAGCCCGCCGATCCAGGTTTCCGGGTTAGCCCAATCCCCGACCACAGTGACGCCGGTGGGGAAGGGCTGCCGCTCGCCCGAGGCCTCGCTTGGGCTCGGCTTCGCGCAGCGCGCCGTTGGGCGACCCGTTCGCTGGGCGGGAGGCGCGGAAAGGCCTTGAGAGGACCGCTTTAGGACACCCTCGCGGTATCCTGCGCCGTCACGGAGATATCGCGCAGCGCATCAGGTGCCTGGCCACACAAAAGGCGGAGCATCAAGGTGCCAAATGAGCGCAAATTTTGCGTTAATGATCTGGGTTATGGCGAGGATATGGGAGGGGATACGGGTGAGGCCACATCCAAGATATGGCCTCACCCGTGGCAGCGATATGGGCGCTGAGGGACGGCGATGTGAATTGGAGGCGCACATACCGTATTTTACCCGGTATTAGTAGGCATGTATTGGACCCCCAAATGAGTTGTGGATACACTGGTAGAAAACGTTATGTTTGCGATGCCAGCTACGATGCCATTTTGACACAATTTGATGCCGTCACAATGAGTGCGATGGCATAAAAGCAACTGTGATGGCATCAATTTGTGTCAAATTGCGCCGCGGTTGGCATCGCAAACAAACAGGCTGTTTTCTACTGGTGATATTAATAGTGAGTTATGTATACCAACGCGGGTTGGACCCCTGGTCTCAAAGAGTATACAGACAAAATTTTAACAAATAGGCTATGAAATGCCCAGAAATGGGCAAGAATGGCAATGCTAGTGCGTGTGGTGAGCATGGGAAGAAGGGAGAATGGGAGCACGTTTGGTAATGTGGGGGTTTAGAAGTGGGGGCTAGGGAGTAAGGTTGGGAGGTTAGATGGGCCATGGGTAGTGGTGCGCGGGTGCAGTGAGAGGGGGGAGTTACTGGGTAGGGACCTCAGGAACGCCGGCGGGCGGACGGGTCCAGGTTAGCCGGCTTAGAGGAATAGGTACGAGGGAATGGGGTCAGAATGGGTTAGACGGAAGTGTCGGGGAGTTCGGTATGAGCTTGTGGGATTTGCATTAGAATGGAGACTGCCGGCATGTTTTGTACGTATCGACGGGCCGGGATGGCAGTGAGGTGAGTTGGCTTCTAGTTGGGACACCTGCGAGTGCAGTGTGGTGAAGGGATTACCTATAAATGAACAGACCGTTTCGTAACTTATGCTTGACGACGGGACTAAGTCGGTCTCAAGCCACAAGGGCCTATTCGGAGTGCGCGACCTCCGCCGGGCATCCGCGAGCGAGCCGGCTACCGTGCTGCCCATTCGTGGGTACCGGCATCAATATGCGGAATGTTGTCAGCCTCTTCACAGAAGCTGGTGGCCTTGACTCAAGGCTGCACCAGGTGGTGGCGATTGGCGATTGGGGCTGTTGCGGCCCGTCGGCAGCCACTGGTTTCCGGAGGCTCTGGGGTTGCCCTGCCTTGCAGCACGGCTGTTGGAGGTCAGCCGGCCTCTCCACCTTGGATGGTGGGCGTAATCGAGGCAGTCGATTCCTTGGTCGCGCGGTGGGCCCAATGCTCGACGGGGATCGATCCCCAGGGCCTGCTGTCGGCGAGAGGTGGCGGCGCAGCTGTTAGGCGGTTCGCTGGCTCGCGGGAGGCTAGAGAGTGGGCCAGAACGGTTACACGAATTCCCTGCATGCGCGCGCACAAATCTGCATGCGCGATGCCCGATCGCGGGTCCATCACTGTCACATCAAGACAAGACAAATCAAGTGCGCGTCCAGGCATATCGTCACCGTACACCGTTCACCTACAATCGACTCATTGTCCTCTAATTCCAAGCGTCTAACACCCGACCCTGGCCCTCAGTACTACAATTTCAGGAGGCCATATCTTCGTCAATTCTTAACGGAATTGGGCGTTTAAAAGCGCGTTAGAACCAGGAAGCTCTAAATAACACCCCCAAAAGATCCATTTACCCAATTACGTAATTTCCACTCCATAAATGTCAAATAAGCCTAAACCCCAAGCAGGCACGTCACAGGGGCCAATAGAGGCTCGCTAGAATACTCGAGGCACGTTTGCCTTTACAATGCAAAGAACGAGGACTGGCATAGGTCTCAACTCGTTGGGGTGCCATGTCTCAACGATAGGCTTGAAGCACGGCGTTTTCTTGAGCTGATGGCGGCTGGGAAGGTAGATGTGAACTGTGATTGGGTTTATGGCCTGGTAGCTAGCGCAATGTGCGAATTGAGGATGGGCCTACCTTGGCAGCATTTTGTGGGCAGCTTTGAAAAGCGGGGAATCACAATGGCCACCCCGACCAATGCCAACGCCTTCTCATTTTTGGCGCTGGGCCTTGTGGCGCCTTTGGCAGGTGGCAGTCCGGAACCTGCTCTGCCATGCGATCCTCGGCTGAGAGCGCCAACGGCGCCAGTCAACCATGCAGCCTTTTGTGGGCCCCTTTTCCAATTCTCCCCCAATAGCATCCACTCCGACCCGATCGTCCTAATCAATGTGCAAATCGCAGGGAACATGGTTTGGTCCAGACTAGGTAATGCGGTTCAACACCAACCGTCGAATTCCCTTGCCACCATCCATGGCTTTGCTCGTTTCTACCTATGTTTGGGGGTGAATACTAACATTGGGTCATGGATACTAACATGGTTTCGACCCCAAAGACGGGGGTGGATACCAATAGAGGGTGCCTACTAATACCGGGTAAATATGGTATATAATTCTAATATATTACATACTGGTCAAAGCAAGGAGGTCCCCCACAAATCGTAAAGTACAATGAGATCCTTTTTCAGCAGGAGCTAATATAGTGTCCCAAACGATGAGATAGAGAAAAGAGCATTTATGTGTGGTTAGCATTCAATATTTATATGGTGGAGTCCTAGCCATCTAAGAGAAAATGTGAGAAAAGAGGGAAGGAGTTTTTCGGGTCATTTCCCAAATATCATAGAATATACCCAAACATCCTGACTTATCTTGTGTTTGTTGCCCTGTCTAGCTTCCACTATCGATCATAGCTCTGTCAATACCAACAAAAGTCTCTCTCAGTATTGAGTATATTCCCATCAAACAACCCTTAGAATTAGGCTAAGAAAGGTTGACCCAATCCAAAAAGATAGTCTCAATTCCAATCACCATATCTATGTGTTAAGTAATGGATCTCATTGGTCAATTGCTCTTGAAGAAGAGCAAAAAGGGACAATAGACAAGTTTGTGGTTATGTCATATATAAGGTAGTGACACCATGTGTATTGTGAGTTATTGTGAGGGTGGAAATGGCATATATAGTAGTTCGTTGTATAGTTGCCCATTAGAAATTAGGCCACTCGAGACATGTATCTGCATGAGAGGTCTTTGGTACAACTCAAAGAATAAGAGAACCGAAGCATGAACTCGAGTAGTTGGTGACTATGAATGCAAGTGTGCCACCATATCTCAAGGCAGGAGACAAAATAATGTATAATTAAAGTCTTAATAGCCCCGTAGATATGTGGATTGGAGATGACCTCAATTTGACCAAGACAATTGGCCCCTAAGGGGCGAATAAGGCTTATTTGGTTATAAAATTTTGCTTGGTCATGTTCTATGATTCCTATATTCCTTGGGATCCATCATAATTGAAGATTGGAGTTGTAGGCTTGCAAGTTCAACAAGGCACATTGAGTAATGACTACAAGGTGTTTGCCACCTTGTTAATATTGTATTGCCTATAGGGCAGACAAGGCATCAAAGGCAATAGTCACCAAGAAAACGGTCCAAATTTTGCAGTGAGACATGCCAATAGGAGTGCAATCAATTTTGTATGTGTGATGGAATAATAGCCCATAAAATAAATAATGATTGAATGGCCAATGGTATCCCTGCCTCTGGAGAAGGTGGCAGATAAGCCACATTGGTCAATGTCAGTATGGTTCCTAGGAGTTAGCGACCTATATATAAAGACCCAAAGGTGAGCAGGTGTTGAAGTAGAAGGTAGAGGTGGCCACACTCGGGTGCTGTCCGGTCCGTCAAGTCCGGTCCGTAAAACTGAATGTGATATTCGTCCGCTAATATCCAGTCCGCTATTTGCCGTACTACCATCCGCAAAATCCAGCTCTCATTTTTTCTTCACTGTTATTTGCCGTTAAATTAATGGATGACGTGTGTGGCGTCTGGTCCATAACAAAATATCCGTTGATTAATAATTTTGGTCCGTTATTACCCATAGGTACTTGCTTTCCAGCCACGGCAAGGTCAAGGCGAAGTTGCCAAGGGGTTTCTATTTTGCAGCAACTCGAATTATGTTGGTTGCATACCTGATAAATGTGTGTGGGCGTTTTCCAGGTCATGTATTCTGCGGTTTGTAATACATGAAGTGATTTGGAGAACTGAACAACACACAAGCCGTGTATAAAGTTCCAGTGTATGCATGCAATCCTGCACCACTTGCTATGGCTGGTACTGCTGCATACCACACTCACATTGCAAGTCTTCCCGGCCATTGCAGCAAGGGTTCGGTATAGTTGTAATACCAAACATGGACACACAAACACCCACATCACCTGAGGCAGGTGGCAAAAAGGGTTCACCTCTGAACACAATTGAGCCACTCAACATACTTGGGAATGGGTGATACGTATCACATATAACGATGGGTTGCTGCGGCGGTACTCCACAGTTTCCATGCCAGGGCAGCAAGTGTAAAGCCCATCCACCAATTGCACTATTCGATTGGACACATTTCTCACAGAAATTCTCTTCTATCTATATGATACCCTAGGTTCATCCACCATTCCAACATAGTACGTCGAAGTTCAACAGTTCAACATACATGAAAATGGGCAACGAATAG